GGCAGGGCGCGGGGGTCGCGGGCGGGCCTCGGTCAGCAGCAGCCGCCGCCGCCGCAGCCGCAGCAGGAGCAGCGCCCTGGGGAGGGGGGATCGCTTCTCGGGGTGAGCTCCGTGGCCAGCCCCTTCAGGGGGGGTCGTGGTCTCCCCCCTGGCCGGGAGCAATCGGCTCGCTCCAGCAAGGCTCGCCCAGTGGGGCGGGGATCCGTACTTCGGGCGCTCTCTCCGGGCGCAGGGGCTCCGGTTGTTCCTCTTGTCCTCGTCCTCCTCGGGGCGGGTGCGGACTCTGCCCCGGCGCGGGGCTCTGTCCACCTGCTAAGCAAAGGTTTCACGAGAGACAACAAAGGACGAAGCGGTTCCTTTCTTCCTCGGCCAAATTGTGGGTGGCCAGCAACCGGGCCGCTCCTTGCTGGTCCGCTGGCTTCTCTCCCCTCTTCAGCAACACATTTCACTGTTTCCCCTTAGCATAGTAAAACTTTTCCGGTCCTTACAGGCGTGGTGGTACTGGCGGCTCGCGTCTGCGGAGTGGGGAGGCTGGCTCCTGTTCTCCCCCTCTGGTCCTCTCCTTTCAAGTTTTGTCCTGTCCTAGGAAAACTTCTTGCGATGATGCATTTCTCTGAAGTTGCTATTGCCGGAGCTCTTGGGTGTCTCTGAAACAAGAGTCCCTTTTCATTTTCCTCGCAACAGTCACGGTCTGGTGCGACATCTTTCCTTTTGGGCAGAAATTAGGAAACAAATATAACAAGGCAAAAATTGAACAGGAAAAAAAAAAAAAAAAGGTCGAATTGCTCTGTTACCTTGTTGCTGAAGGTTGGGGTTGGTGTTTTATTTTTTCCCCGGCAGTTGTCTGGAGAAGGAGGAAGAAGAAGAGTGCATTGGTGGAGATGGAGATGTGTGTGTGCATACAGGGGATCCTTGATACACAACCAACTCCTGTGGGCACGTTGGACCGCTCCTAGAGTGCCCGACGGCGGGCGCGGGCGTGCCGGGGCAGAGTTGCTGCCGGAGCTAGCTCTGCGCCCGGGTTCTCTCTTTCTCCCTGTCTCACTTTCCCTCTCCCTCTCTCTCCCTCTCTCGAGCGCCCGCTCTCGCTAGGATCTGACAGTTCGCTCTCTGTCCCTCCCTCTCAGAGCAGGGACTGTCGAATGTTTACCCTCCGCCGCAAGCGCGCACCCACCACCACACTTTCCCAAATACAAGGAAGTCGAGCACCAGGGCCCCCGCTGATTGGCTACCCGCTGGGTGATTGGCAGGCCTGGAATGACTGGCTTAGGACGCGCGGCCCCCCTTCCGGCCGTTCCGATTGGTTGCTTTTTAATTTAGGCAGAGCGTCGTAGAAGCTGGAAATCTGTCGTTCCCCAGCCTCCCTCCCCCGC